TTTTTTTTTTTTGAGAACAGGCGAAAACTAATGCGCGCGCGGATGTCATCCATAAAATTAAATCGGTGTAGCCTAATGAACATACATAGATGTGAACTCTTAATCGATAAAGAAAATGTCCTGGCGTCGTTTTCACACCATTTCAATCAACCTACTGTACCATAGATAAACCGAAACGTGCAATTATAAATACGCAGGTTGTTTAATGGTGGAAATAAAAAGGTGTAAAGATTACTCCAATCGTCAGCAGTCTAATTTGCCATTACTCGGCATTTATTTATGGTTTAATTAAATCAATTTTCACTATTACTCACAATAAAATGAACGCCAGAATAAACGATAACACGGATGTGTGTAGTCTGGTTAACGGCTTTTACCGATGATCGTTATTACCCAAAAAAACAATTCAAGTTAGTTTATTGCTTGTGTACGCGCATATTGTTACATTTCATCCGTGATTTCGTAGGATTACAAACTAAGGCAATGCATTATTTCACTAATAAAATAACACGTTTACAAGCGCTACTTACCGCGATACGTGAAAGAGAAATGTGGTTCGTTTACTTGCGCAAGATCTTTGTACGTACTGTTCAAAATAGCAGACAATCTTAACTTGTTTGAATTGCACACAGTGACAGCTGGGAAATAGATCGAATCTTCAGATACAACTTCCATCTTTATAGCGACTTCGTATCGTAGGAATCTCGCGATCAGAGAGCCTGCATGGAGACTGTAGCCAGTAAAAGCGCCAAGTACTACAACAATCCAGGCTGTTCGTCGAAAGCACGTATTCGACGCAGCGATTCGAGCTACTCCGTGAGTTGTCGTCCGCTGTGCGAAATCATTCAGCAGATCACTAACTTTTATCCCGCCTTTTCTCTTCTTTTTAGCCATGTTTTCTATGGCACCAATATCACAGACAAATTTACATCGGTCTGCTACGATTATTACCTCACTTATCCTTTTTATATCACTTGTATTTAATTAAATATGCATGTTCGACCTAATTAAACAGTCTTGTTGAGTACAAAAGCCACGGTTGAATTCGTCTGTCTCTCATTTGTTCTTGAATGGGCCATAAATTTGTTGACAGGAAATGATAGTACGAGTAGATAATATGCATATTCAATGCAACTGGCCAAATGAAGTAAAACTTGTTATTGATTGACTCCCAGTAAATTATTAACGATGGTTTCCTTCGAAACTTGTACCAGTCAATTGTATTTTTGTAGCTGCCATAACTTTATTTATACCTCAAAATCTAGATATAGTTTTTACCAATCATTTGATAGGGTCAATTCCATGAGTAGCCAAAACTATTTTAGGCACACTTTGGTTTTCAAAAGTGTTTGGAAACTTACGTGTGTATGCTAAAGGTGTACAATATGACAGAGGTATTAGTGAAGATACACAATTTATGCCTAAGGTTTGCGGACTCAATCTTCAGCCGAGTTATGGTTATTTTCACCATGTGAGTAATCGTTTTTACCTCGCAGTGATGATGACACTCGTCGCCATGTGAGTAATCGTTTTTATCTCGTATCGCAGTGATGAAAACACTCGTCACTATGTGAGTAATTGTTTGTACCTCGTATCACAACGATGAAAACACTAGTCACCATGTGAGTACTCGTTTTTACCTCGCAGTGATGAAAACACTAGTCGCCATGTGAGTAATCGTTTTTATCTCGTATCGCAGAGATGAAAACACTAGTCACTATGTGAGCAATCGTTTTTATCTCGTATCGCAGTGATGAAAACACTAGTCACCATGTGAGTAATTGTTTTTATCTCGTATCGCAGTGATGAAAACACTAGTCACCATGCGAGTAATTGTTTTTACCTCGCAGTGATGAAAACACCAGTCACTATGTGAGTAATCGTTTTTATCTCGTATCGCAGTGTTGAAAACAATAGTAACCATGTGAGTAATCGTTTATCTCGTATCGCAGTGATGAAAACACTAGTCACCATGCGAGTAATTGTTTTTACCGTATCGCAGTGATGAAAACAATAGTAACCATGTTAGTATTCGTTTTTATCTCGTATCGTAGTGTTGAAAATACTAGTAACCATGTTAGTAATCGTTTTTATCTCGTATCGTAGTGTTGAAAATACTAGTAACCATGTTAGTAATCGTTTTTATCTCGTATCGTAGTGTTGAAAACAACAGTAACCATGTTAGTATTCGTTTTTATCTCGTATCGTAGTGTTGAAAACAACAGTAACCATGTTAGTATTCGTTTTTATCTCGTATCGTAGTGTTGAAAATACTAGTAACCATGTCAGTATTCGTTTTTATCTCGTATCGTAGTGTTGAAAATACTAGTAACCATGTTAGTAATCGTTTTTATCTCGTATCGTAGTGTTGAAAACAACAGTAACCATGTTAGTATTCGTTTTTATCTCGTATCGTAGTGTTGAAAACAACAGTAACCATGTTAGTATTAGTTTTTATCTCGGATCGTAGTGTTGAAAATACTAGTAACCATGTTAGTATTCGTTTTTATCTCGTATCGTAGTGTTGAAAATACTAGTAACCATGTTAGTAATCGTTTTTATCTCGTATCGTAGTGTTGAAAACAACAGTAACCATGTTAGTAATCGTTTTTACCTCGTATCGTAGTGTTGAAAACAACAGTAACCATGTTAGTATTCGTTTTTATCTCGTATCGTAGTGTTGAAAATACTAGTAACCATGTTAGTAATCGTTTTTATCTCGTATCGTAGTGTTGACAATACTAGTAACCATGTTAGTAATCGTTTTTATCTCGTATCGTCAGCGATGAAAACACTAGTAACC